GTGAATTTTTGGTTACATGGGGGATTAGTGCCCCAACTCCCTTGTTGTTCGAGGGTCAACTGTACTTATGATAATTAAAAGATCTCTTATGTTTTCTGATGACTTTCCTACCACTGAGAATTAAAATAGCATCATTCTGATTCTTGTTTTCGTTAAAATGGTAAAAAAGAATTAACTTGTAGATTCTCAAAGTTTACCTGTATGTATGTCTTCAAAACTTCAATAGAAACTTCTTCCTTCATAGGAAAAAAGACATAATTATAAACACAACTGCTTATATGAACCAGTAATAAAATTTCTAACAAAAATTCTGCTATTAAATGATTTAATAAGTCTAATATTTACTTTTGAGGAGTATCTATACACCAGGCCAAGTGCTTAGCAAAGTTCACCCATTGCCTGATTTAACCTTAACATAACTCTGTGGGTAGTTACTATTATTACTCACATTTCACAGAGGAAGAAACTAAGACCCAAAGAGTTTATTTACCTAGAATTACACAGCTAGAAGCTGCTGAATAAAGGTAGAAACTCAGGATTCTTCGTCCAAAGCCCAAGCTTTGAACTACTATATCAGTTACCTTCTACATACGGTCTGACCAAAATGTTATCAAACATTTAGAAACACAGAAACAAACAAAAAAAGAAAACAAGGGTTTAAAAGACACAGAATTCAGTCTGGTTCAGTTAGCTCTGCTGGTTGATTTAAAGTTGGGTACTGATGAGGATAAAGTTACAAATTTATTAAAAACTAGGTAACCAACAGCATTCTGTGGCCAAGGACTAAAAACCCTTTTAAAGGGTCCACCCATAGTGAGTTATCACTGAGTGACCATACAAGACGACTTCTGCACCCTTTTCACCATTTCTAGAAAACAACAATAAAAAAGTAGTGTTTTCCTGACAATAGGTATATAGCATCAACCTTACAGAGAAGGGTAAATTGTGCATTTTTATTTACTTTGGTCTGTAGTCCCAGAGTGCGGAAAAACAAAATGAGGTGAGTCATAAAGCGAAGGAGGTGTCCAGGTAGATTGTTTCTGCTTTTGGAAAGCCATTTGCTAAACTCATCCATCAAACCTACAAGCCATCAAAGCAAAGATTCAACAACAGGAATAAAATCAAAGGAAGAGAAATAAACATTATGGAGATCATTTACTTCATTCTCATAGTGCTATTAAGTCATTGTCTCATTGTTAGTAGCCATCATATAACTCTCTACACTCTCTTAAACAGATTCTGGGTTAAATTCAAACTTTATTTTATAAAAACAATTAAGTAAATAGTTGCACTCCAATAGGTTGACATTTTTTTTTTTTTCCGAGACAGAGTCTCACTCTGTTGTTCGGGCTAGACTGCTGTGGCGTCAGCCTAGCTCACAGGAACCTCAAACTCCTGGGCTCAAGCAATCCTTCTGCCTCAGCCTCCCGAGTAGCTGAGACTACAGGCATGCGCCACCATGCCGGGCTAATTTTTTCTATATATATTTTTAGTTGTCCAGATAATTTCTTTCTATTTTTAGTAGAGATGGGGTCTCGCTCTTTCTCAGGCTGGTCTCGAACTCCTGAGCTCAAAGGATCCACCCGCCTCAGCCTCCTAGAGTGCTAGGATTACAGGCGTGAGCCACCACGTCTGGCCAATAGGTTGACATTTTTAAGATGAAAATACGTGGTGAGTCATATGTATTGTTTTGATAACTTTCTCCCAAAATTACTATAAGGAAATGAAGAACTCATACAAAGCAAAATAATATTGTATCTTACCATCAATGTCTCCCAGGATAAGGAATTTTTGAACTATATGATAATGTTCTTGATTCTCTTCCAGAACTCTCTGAAAAAAATTTTTCCATTTTTCATAAATTTTCTAGTGATCATTCTGTAATATATACTCATTGTTAAGCTAAAAAATATTAAACTTTTGAAGAAAGTTGGAAATGAAGAGTCTTAGTAAGATCAAAACAAAATAAAATATGGGAAGGATACTGCCTTTGGAATATACTCAAGGCTTAAAAATCTAGAAAGTTGGAAATGAAGAGTCTTAGGAAGATCAAAACAAAATAAAATATGGGAAGGATACTGCCTTTGGAATATACTCAAGGCTTAAAAATCTAGAACTGAACAGTATCTTTGAAAATAGAAAACTATGCTATCACAATTTAATCTCTGTGAAGTTATTAAACTTCTATTTTTATATATTATTCCTATTTATCTTGGAACTCCATGGTGGACCAAAAAGGAAGTGCCCATGTGACCTAAGCAAAATAAACATTTCTTTCAACATGAGCAGCAGTACTTGAAAATATTCTTTGGGTATTCTCTTCTGCCAATGGTGCAAAGAATAGCAAAACAAAATAGTGACCAGTTACAGAGTAGAAAAAAATGTTCTTAAGTAACCTGCAGTTTGATTTTTTTGATGCAAATAGTGATTTTTTGTTATATTTTAATTTTTATATGGATAGTTATCTAAATTTCCTTTTAGCATACATTATTTTTACATTGAAACCTTTGCTCTATCTGGAATTTATTTTAATTACATGCTATGTATGAGGTAGGATCTAGCTTTGTTTTCTTCCAGATGGAAAGCCAATTAATGCGAGCACCATTTATTTAAATAAACCACCCCTTTCACTCTGAAATGAAAGGTCACCTCTGATAGCTGGTAAGTTCTCATATACATTTGGATCTAGTTTGGGCTTTGTGTTTCACTAACCTATTTATTCTCATGCCAGTTCTGCACTGTTATTATCTTTATATAGTTTTATTATTAAGGCAAGTACCCCATAACTATTGTTCTTTTTCTTGACATTTTCATTTATTCTTCTACTTGGAAAGTTTTTGTCCAGAAATAATATCCAAAAGCATTAGGTTTCTATACTAATTTGGAATGAGTGACATTTGCATTAAATCCTCTCATCCAGGAACATGGGTATATTTATTTATTCATGTCTTATTTTATGTCTCTCGCTAAGATTCTACGGTTTTTTATATGAAGGTCCTGAAACCCTTGATTAATTTTTTATTCCTAGATCTCTTTAGTTTTGGTCATTCACTTAAATGGAGCTTTTGCAGAGGCAGGGCTGTATCCTTTTCTAACTAGTTTATAACAAGTACAGAAAGACTGTGGTTTTTTTTTTTTTTTTTTACTTTGTCTTGTATTTAGCTATCTGTTAACAAATTCTCTTACTAATTCTAGTAACTTAATGGGCTTTAAATTCCTAGACTTACACTTTTATCATATGTAAATATTTAACCCTTTCCAGCATTTAGATCTATTCCTTGATTTTATTTCATAAGCTAGAATTTCCAAAATAATAGACTAACAATAAACACTTGACAGAAAAAGCATTAATTTCCTTACTATACAAAGTGCTCCCATATAATAAGGAAAAGCTAAAACCCAACAGAAAAAATAGCTAAAAGATATGAACAAAAAATTCACAAATTGTCAAAAAACATAGAGAAACATGCTCAGCCATATGAATAAACACGGAAATGTGAGTAGAACAGTGAGCTCCTATTTCCCACCTACTCTAATGGATTGGCGAAAAATAAAAAGTGTGACATTTGGGACTGGTGAGAATGCATAACTTAACAAATTACCTGTATGGGTATGAATTAATTGCTACGACCAGGTAATTATTTTTTCCATTTCAAAATGTTTCTTTTTCTTTTCATTGTATATATTTTTAAGGTATATAATATGATGTCTTCGGATAATTAATTTAGAAACATTGTATATACGTATGCACAGGTATAAAGCATATACTTTTACTTTTTAACCCAGCAACCCTGCTTTCAGGACACTTATCCTAAACAAACAGACAAATCAGTAGATAAGTACACAGACACACAGGCAAGTTCATTATAGCACTAGAAATAAGCTAAATTATCACCCAAAGGGAAATGATTAAAAAAAATTATATGTCATTCTACAGAATATTATGTATTTATTAAAAGAATATGTTAAAATAGATCAACTAACTTGGAAAGATTATCTTTAAAAGAAAAAAAATCAAGTTACAGAGTAATGTATGTAATACATACAGATGTGAAAAACATCAAAAACCAAAATTCTATATTGGAATATCTACATTATTTACAGATATTTGTATGAGAAAGGTATAGAAGGATACATATCAATTAGTTGTATCATCTCAGGGGAATGAGAATAACCATAAAGGGTTTGGGAGGAAGTTATTACAAAGGTTTTATGTATACAT